CTTATGACCTGTGTTGCAGATATCCGATAGTTTGTTTCTATCTTAAATATGCTGTATAACCACGATGAACATGATTTTTGAGTAGGTAATTCATTTATGCATTTATATATACACACAGAGAGGACAGAATAACCATAAATTATGAACAGTTTCATATAGAATTAATGCTTGAAGTTATAATAAAGCCTTTATTTCTATTGTCTTGGAATTTGAAAACTTTTTTACATTATATTATTATTTTATTATTATTCCAGTGAGTTTCAAGTGGAATATATGCCTTCAACAGCACATCTCTATTTCATCCTGTTCTCTACAATCCTATTTAATTGCCTCCATGAATGCCTACTGATTTTCATCTCCTCCATGTCACCCTCGGATGAAAGCCCAACTCATTGTGTTTCATTCGGGTTGCACTTGATCGATGGTTTGGTGCGTAGTGTCATTCAACAGTCTTCCCATCCATCTCTATTCTCCTCGGCATATTTGTTGAGGCAATAGATTCTTGGTTTGTTTGTTCATAGGGTTTCTTGTTGCTAATTACTTCTAGTCATTCGATCTTTAATACTGAGCAAAGACAGCTGTTGATAAAAGTTTGCAGTTGGCTGTTAGAATATCTTTCGGTTATGCACCAAGTGTCTGACTCACATTGAAGCATTGACTTAAAAGTGGTGCTGAAAATCTGATGTTTATTTGCTAAATGCAGACGATTTCCAAACTGGTTTCAGAGTAACAAATATCTGCCTTGCCTTTCCGATCCTGGTTTTAAAAAATTTTAAATTTCTCCCCCTTGAAGGCGTTTAGTGCTGGTTGTTGGTTGGTTCGTCACCTTGAACATGTCCGTCTTCTCTATGTTCACTTACTATTTACACTGCTTCTTCCGACAGTTCATCAGTTCTTTCCTGTAGAGTTTTGGGTCTGTGTGACACCAAAAACAAATCGTCCACGAAGTCCACATCTTCTATTGTCTTTTTATCGGTCCAGTGTATTCCTGTCTTCTTGTTCTCCACGGAGTTTTGCATGATCCAGTCCACCACAATTAGACATATTATCGGTGATAGTAGGCAGCCTTTTCTTCCTCCAGTCTTCAATTCAGTGACCGCTGAATTTTTGATTGCGAATAATTTAACATGTGGCACTGTTATATAGCTACTGAATGAGGTTGATATAGGTTTGGGCTACCTCGTAGTGTCGAAACAGTTTCTTAATTACTTTGCAGTCAACCCTGTTGAAGTAGATCGATAGATGAAAATTACGTCATCCCCCAATAAAAATGTCTATATTTTTATTCATTTACTAATTCCTGTATCCACACTTCACATTCTTCTGAACTTTAACCCCTTCAGTGTTTACATTAATATTGCATTAGTTATTCATGCATTATTTCCATCGATATTACTGTTAATAAACATTCCTTTTCGATAGCATAGAATTTAACGTTGTAAAAAAGAATCGATTTAGAATGACAGGTGGAACAAGTGAAATAATACCGGAGACAGTTCAAAGTGAGAGTAGTAATAGTAACAAATGACGTGATAGGGAGGAGACTACAAATTGAATACACAAAATGAAAAAAATAAAAAAATTGGTTGAGCTAAAATATGATTGGGGATTACCATACTTTAGCATAGAGGGATTAAGACCATGAAAGTTGGAGGGGTTGAACGAACTTTTTCTGTACACAGAGATCTGGCTTTTCTGTCTCGATAGCCAAAGCTACCAAATTTTCATTTTTTTCATTTTGTCTATTCAATTTGTAGTCTCTTCCTTATTACGTCGATTGTTACTATTACTACTCTCACTTTGAACTGTCCCCGGTATTATTTCACTTGTTCCACTTGTCATTCTAAATCAATTCTTCTTTCTACAACGTTAAACATTCCCTTTCTCTTCATTATAATTCCCTTTCTCTATCTAAATTATAACCCGTGACAGATTAAAAAAATGTGTTACTCAGATCTTGAGTTTTGTAAGAATACGGATTAACTTCAGTGAAAATTTTGTCATAAAGTAATGTCAGTTGAAGAACCATTAAAAACCATGGAACACTAGAAAGCTGTTTCGTCTTAGCCAAGGACTCTTCATCAGTGCATATAGAAGATCCCACAAATGATTGAATCAATGAGTGTGTATTACTGATTAGCCGCAGTCTGAGAAGAAACATCTGTCAAGTATTTCCTGGCTTTCAATCATTCTCTGAATGATGTTGATTCGTCAAGAAATCTTTATTGAAAACATGTTATTGTTGAGACTAAATTTTAAATTCATGGACCATCGGATCTAGTCCCAGTGGATGAATGGTCTACGAGCTCGCCTTGTAACCAGAAGGTCCAGGGTTCGAACTCCAGTCAGTGAGTGCGTACTTCCTAGGAGTCCCAAACTAGGAATAAACAGCTGTCTAGCACTCCTAGATTTTCTAGTGATCCTCTAACCGATGTTAGCTCAAGATGAAACCATGGAGCTAATCAAATCCAGGCTTAACCAAAACTTGAATAAAAGTAAAACTTTGGTAAGTAGACAGTAGCTAAACGAATTATCCTTATTGGCATCTCCTCGTTATGCCTTATTGAAGTCCACTAAAGAAAAAAGAAAATTTAAGAGAATTGATTCATTCTTCCAAATAAGCACAACTAATTTATTCACAGTTATAAGTGTTCCAACACGTACAACGACAATGTTTACCAATATAGAACTCTATATCAAGGTAAAATGTTCCAGGACACCATACTTCATGAAATTAAGGATAGATAAGATAATTTCAAAGTAGATAGGTGCAAAATTATGACAGATTATTACTGGAAAAGTGGACATAACAGAAAACAACAGATTTACGAAAAATTAGATTTTGGGATTCGGCGAGGAGGGCATGGTTAGCTGAAGTTTCATTAGTTAAGTTTCGTCACGAAGCAATATCAGTTACTTTATTTTTTTTGATTACAGCTTGATGCCACACCGTATTTTCGGTACAATCATGGAATTTTCAGCATGTCATATCGGTAGGCCGAATTTTGCAGGCCGACCATAGATATCAGGTGTGCATCGGCAGGGAATCGAACCCCGGACCATGTGTATGGTCGGCGATAGTCCTAACCACTGTGCCACCGACGATCAGTGAAGACCAGAGAGTAATGGACATCTGTTTTGCCCTCTTTCGATATTCTTAAGCACTGCACATTCATGAAGCTGTAAGGGATCTCATCTGAAACCTTCAGATTACGAGATCATGGTTGGTGACCATTCAGATACTTACACCCCTATTCGGTGACTCGTAAAATCCGAAAATTGCTATTAAAATTAATCCAAACTCCTACAAGAGAAAAACCTACAATCTAGACATCACTCTCCAAATACTAGATGGAGAAGTCGTTACCAATACGGTCCACCATGTCAAGGTAAACTGGATACTCATTGAAGGCATTTAGTTGAAGACAGTGTTATATCATGGAATTAAAATCCACAGGTCTATGAATTCTGACCCAAGTGGCTGAATGGTCACAGATATTTGCCTCATAACCTGAACTCTTCGAACTCGGTCTCTGGTAGGGTTGTGAGTGCGCGCTGCTGAAGAGCGACCCGAAAAGTGACGGAACAGCTATCTAGTGCTGTTTTTGACTTCAATGATCTCTCTAGTTGATATTGATTCATGGCAAAATGTAACAGTTGGCATTAAAATCTACAAAAAGTTAGTAAAAGATAAGAATTAGATACCCCAAACTGTAGGTGACTTCTTAGGAGATGTTATGTTTATGTTATGTTCAAATTCTAAGTTATTCATCTTTCGTATTTCGTGGACCTTAAATAAGTAAAGTAAACTGCTAGATCAGTAGTCAGGGCCTTCATGAATGTACATACACATACACAGTAAATATTTTCACTGTTCCATAGGTAAAGATTTCTAGTTAACTTATATTTTAATACCCTTTACTTGGATCCAAAGTGTTTCAAAACAAAATAACAGATACAAAATCACTAAACATCTTACTTTCGCGTCCATACTTCACTTATTTTAATTCTTTTTGAGGTGAAATACAGTATTTTTGCAAGTATACTCTCTCTCTCTCTCTCTTCTGTGATGAATATGAACATGGGATGTTAATTCTTTCACTATTGACAGACAATTAAAGAAAACTATTTTTAAGTAAATAACGATGAATATATACATATATATATATATATATTGAGCCATTGAGCTTAATTTTTAGTCGTTCCCCTGAGTACCTTCAGTAGGTTATCTTCAGCCTCTCGAACCAACAAGTTATAGCATGAAATTCTCAGTAAATTATTCATACTTACTTCTCAGATTATATAAAGATGAATATAGTATTATCCAATCAGAAGAAAATCTCTTTTCTTGAGAAGTGACGATAAAAACGAACAGCGTTAGACTCATAATGATAAAATCATACAACTCTACGTATTTTACAACTAACTTAGGAGCACTCATGCTGGCTTGACTAGTTCAGGAGTGATGAGGAGTTAGTTCGTAGGGATTTGATTTGCTCCAAATTGAGCGTCACAGATTAATGTTGGTGAGAGAACCATTGAAAACCAGGGGGTATTGGACAACTGTTTTGTCCTAGTTTTGAACTCCCCATCAGCGTGCACCCATCGGGGTTCGAACTCAGAAATTTCCAGTCACAAGGCGAGTCCGTAGACCATTCAGAGTTGGCAGATACTGATTTGTTCGGAGTTGAAATTCATGAGCCATCGGGGCGGATCTCAGTGGGTGGATTAGTGATCTACTGGCTTGCCTTGTAACTGTGAAGTCCTGGGTTTGAAACTCTGCGAAGTACCAGATTAGGACGAAACAGATGCCAAGTAGTCTTTGGCTTTCCTCAATGGTTCTCTGAATGATATTATTTACAGTGATCAAACGTGATTAGTTCAATTACCATGCGCCTATTTTTAGCAATTTACCTTTGATACTTATGCAAATCATATTCAGATTTCATAAATAAAACTACAGAATTCTTCGCATATTTGTTGTTGGTTTTTTTCTAAAGATTTGATTCAATGTGAATATTGTTTAAGAAGATTTAATGAAAAAGCTGCTGAACGCCATATCAAATTTGTCGTGATAAACATTCACGTTTGCCAGCTAACAATGCTACCACGACATCTAGTGTAAATACTGGAATTGGTCGTGGACGTGTTCCCGCACGTACATCAGTATGTCTCACCTTTTTCCCATTAATTCTGATTATTATTATTGTTTATTAAAGTGAATTAAAACTTGTTTGAGCAGTTTATTATATGATAATTTATATTGCCCTATTCAGGTAGTTAACCTGGGGTTCTGGTGGGAAGCCGTGACCAGTAGGGTACAGCAGGTTGAAGATGAGACAGTAACTCACCGAAAAAGACATTGTGAAATGGTCGCGCTGTGTCGTGAATTGGCAGAAGTTAGAACTAAAGGACAATTGGATCGGGTCCCAGTGGCTCAATGGTCTACCAGCTCACCCTGTAACCAGAAGGTCCCGGGTTCTAACCCTGGCGGTGGGTGTGTACTGATGAAGAGTCCGAAACTAGGACAAAACAGCTGTCCAGTACTCACAGGCTTTCCAGTGGTTCTCTAACTGATGTCAGCTCATGATGAAATCCTCCAAGCAATCAAACAAAATCCATAGAAAACCAATATTTGAAAATTATAGTTTACTCGAACGTTCTCAGTCTTTCATAATGGAAATACTTTACCACAAGGCTATGGAGTTTCATTGATTGAGATGGTTAGGACATGTGTTACTCATGCCTGGCCATCGCCTTCCTCGACTGATGGGGATGTTAGCTGATACAGGAAAAAAGCCAGTTGTGGTCAAACGAAAACATGGCTTCATCAGTCAGTGAAATCCACAACATTTAGTTGAAGCCAGCCACGTAAGAAGATGCAGACTTCCTCGTTAAGGTCCTCACGACGGTAAAACCAATGAAGGCTGAAGACAATTAATGATATGGCTCAAAATTGTTCTCAATGGCTGGTTCAGATGCATCTAGATACACGAAATGGTAGCCCAGGTGTCAAACAGGCCGCCAGAGACGTATCTACTCCTTGTGGTTGATAATATCCAATAAAACTAGATGGATCTTAGATATTACCATTCATTTTGCCTTATATCTCTGTTCACTGTCTCTATTTTGCATTTTTGTTTTACTTTCTTCTCTTGCTTTGTGAGCTACATGGAGTGTGACGACTCGAACTGCTGCACATCGGTGTAAAGTTTTATGTTGAAACCAGTCAGTCAGTTATTCAGTCAACTTACCTAATTGCGAGACTTAGGATGATGCTTTTTGAAATCCAAATTTTATACAGTAATAGAACGTCACTTAACTTATTCCACCTATACTGTTAATTAACTGAAATTTAGATTTTTTTAGAATGCATTTTTCTGATTATGGTAGTTGAGAATCGCTGATAATAATCAGTAATAATGAAATTAGAAGCCCACCTACTGCAAATAATTCAGTACACCATAATACCGTGTAGGGTTCATATTCTTCAACACCTATCTATAGATTACTACGAAAACGTCCCGTATGATCGCATTGACTTGTAATAGGTATCCTGGTTTAAGTCTACTCTATACTAATACAGTTCAAACGATTCATCTTGCTTCATAATGAAATGCTCATTACTAGCAAAGGGCTAACCATAAAACTATTGTATTACACTTCGAACTTACGATTTACATATACTAGATATACACCAGTAAAAAAGACCTGTAGATTTTATCTCCATGCTTGCTGGAACGTACGGACGATAAGAATGCAGCGAAAACACTTTCCAGTTGCTTGAACCTACCCACAGTCTATCAAGTAATCTCATGGTTAAAATCAAGGTCATTATCAGAGCATCCAGCCTAGAAGCTGATATGTCTTCCGAAACTGATCGGTTCAGTCTAATTAAAGTAGACAACGGAAGATTCAAAGTTTCAAACTCTGGCCCCCACCAAGTTCCCGAGTTCGATCCTTGTCAGGATCTTCAGTGTGAGATGATGAAAAGCTCGAGAATAGGACGAAACATCTATCCAGTGCATTCTGATTTTCAATGATCTCTATAACTGATGTTCGTTCATGGTGAAAATCCTTTAGTTTTTATCAATCCAAGTAATTCCGCACAAACCCTACAATCAGAATTTCAACATATACGTTTAACTACTTTTAAGTAGTATGTTTTTCAGCTTAAAAGAGTGTTCATTTGGAAAAATACACATGATTTTTTGTCATTACTTCCTGTCCAAAGCCTTCTTCGGATGTCCAGTTGCTTTAGATATGTCCTACAAGCTTTTTGTCTTAAGACACCTGGCTCCTAAGTTCCTGTTTTCACTGATATAAAAGCAGAACTTGGATACTGCGGTAGAGTAAATTCATTTAATAAAATACTGTGGAGTGCGTCGGTGGCATACCGGTTAGGACGCTCGCCGACCATGCAAATGGTCCGGAGTTCGAACCCCGGCCACCGACGCACTCGTTTACCTTGATAAGTCAGAAATAATGCTGGTAAAGAGGAAAGGTTGGGCATGAGGCTAGCAACCCATCATGTAAAATTAAACACTGCTATAGAAACTTCAAGCCACCAGCTTGAGGCCCTATGTTCCACTGGGAACGTGAAGGAAAAAAAATACTGTGGAACAACACGGTGATTTTATCAAATAAATTTACTTTATGATGGTTTTAATTTTTTAACACCCATTTTAAGTTTTTATTTGCATATGCCTGTAATGGAAACCTTTTCATAAAGGGGACTGTGAACCAGTTATGGTAATCATCGAATATGCCAGTAAAGCTAAAGTAACCTGCGCACAGTATAACAGGTCACTCTATCACCTTATAAGACTGGTTTATCAGTATAATCATAACTCATTCCTCGTGTTTACAGTGTAATATGACACCCCATTCAGCATGTCTTCATTCCACCCAGTTCTCCGAAATGACTTTGAACCAGTTATCCTACTACCCAAATGTTTTCATTTCCTCCATGTCACCCTTGGAAGCCTAACTCCTCGCTTCACATTTCAGTTCCAGTCGATAACCAGCCTGACGCACAGTGTCCTCTCTGTTTCTCCTCAGCGTATATTCAATTCATCTCCATTTTCTTCTGCATATCTTTCAGGCAATAGGCTCTTGACTGATTTGCTATCTTGTTGCTTATCCTCTCCAGCTGGCCGAGTGATTTATACCGAGCGAAGGCGAGTGTTGATGGCAGTTTGCCGGAGACTGTAGTAAACGCTTTTAACGATCTTCCAAATCTTTAAACTAAATAAAATTACTGACTGACCTGAAATTTGTGTAAAATGCTTGAATCATATTCCTCGTGCTTATTTCAGTAGATCTAGACGCCGATTTCACAATAGTAGACTTCTGTCTTTCTTTTCTGATCTTGACTGACTTTGACATACTCATCTGTTTTAAAACAATTAGTTCTCTTTATGAATTTAGACAAAGCAATAAAAAGACGTAATTTGTCTGAATCCTGTAATGTTTATCTGCGCAACACATTTCGAACAATCTAATCATACATGAACTTGTCATAGGAATATATATGAAATTAATAAAGAGGTAAGAGGTGAGAAAATAAATTAGCGTTAAGTTAAAAGGACATATTGAAGGTCAAAATAACAATGAAGACCACTTAACCACACAGCAGAGGTAATAGTACATCTGCTATGGTATCAAAACAAAATTTACCAAAGAAGGATCAATGTGATGACAAATTGTTTTTGAACGCATAAAGGTGGCTTAAACTTTCTAACTGCCAGCTAGGGCTTCCACAAACTTTAGGATACGCCCTCCCCCAAACACGTTTTATAGATAGGTTTAAAAGATCTGTTAACATCAATTTTATGACCTGTCTCTATACTATGTTTCACAATAGAAGAGCTAGGTCTCCTGTTCTCACCGTTAATAGGTTCTGATGATTCCATTTGTTTCTGGAGCCATTTAAGAATATGCTCTGAACCCAGCCCTTATTTGCAGAGATCGATGAGTCCTCCTTATGTGTGTGTGTCTACACGTACATTCAAATTGGTAAATACAGTGGGATGTGACATCATTATTTCGTATGTTCGAAGGGCTTAGATGGATGGATATATTGGCTTCACATTCTCAATTATTATGATCTTAGCCAAATAAACAGTCTTTTTAACAGCAGCGTTCAGTCTTTGTCTAGTTATCAAGCTGCTACGATCCCCCATATATGGTAGCTTGATGTACACGTCTTTCTTAGAGGCGAGTTGTGGAATGGGTCTTGGTGTTCTGACTACCTTATATCTCCTGATGAACTTGTCTGGATAATTGTTATCAACCAGAGTTTGTGTCAACTTTCTTTTTTCTTCATCAAGTGTGTCTTCAGTGCATATTCGTTGGATTCTACTGAAGAGGCACCTTACTGAGGCTGTGGTAATTAAGATACTGTCCTGTCCAGGTAGGTTTTCTATAAATAGACCTTTTTATTGACCCATCAAGCCATCAGTCGACTAGGCGATATGTCTAGGAAAGATAAACAGTTATCTTCCTCTTCTACAGATGTAAGTGATATGCTATTCTGAACTTCATTCATTCGATTTAAAATTGAGGTGGCAGAACAAGACTTATCACTGATGATTACAATACCATCTACATACCTTCTATAAAGAGGAACATTTTTGATTGGATCCTCCGATAAATTCTCAATATTATCTGAATCCTGCCTAGCTGATTACATAATCTGTAACATGAAGAACAGCAAACCGGCTATTTCTTAGATGTGCAGCTAGAGATGGGAGTCACGCACACACACACACACACACGGGAACGAGATTTTTTCAGAAAAACATTAGCCAACTGTTCTATGAACTATTGGTATTGAATTTCGAGCCAGAACTATTTTCATTTGACGACCAGTTTTATATCAGCGAATAACACTCATCTTATATTGATTGCATTACCTGTATTTTTGAAAACATCATTCATAACTACCCACCATTAACAGTGTATTTAGCTGATTACTACAATACCAAGGATATTCAAGTCATTTCATAAAATGATCAAAACGCTCAGTAAATGATGATTTTAAACAGGTCAAATATCTATTCAAAGTCATCAGTGTTTGTAAGAGAAACTAAATGTAGACGTTCTCAACTTACTACACTAATCAGGAGAAACAGCTGATTGTTGTACACCTGTGTTAGCAGCTTCATTCTCATCGCGATATTGACGCTATTATGAGTTCAAAATAGTTATTCTGCAGTGCATTTTATTAGAGTCGCTAGTTTGATTTCTATTATACTATTGTCGAGACAGTGAAATGAGTTGTAATGAGAGCCAGTAATTCAATATTCCTTTCACACATAAATGCATTAATTTCATTTTATGATGAAGCTCGTTGGTTCTGCATTCGAATTATCTGTTAAAGGGTCCTGAGTGTGAATCTCACTCCACCTACTTCAGTCTAAGCGAACAATTAGTAGTATCATAAGGCCCAACACTATCAATGTCCACCATAATCTGGTTTATGAGAAATATGTTCTCAGCAACTTAAGTTTGATAAGAATCAACTTACCTGTGATCAGTTCATGAAGTCTTTCAGAGTTAGTTTGAGCCAGACACGTATGTAAGTGTAGATCGCGTCATTGGGGCATTCTCAGAATGCTAAATAACAATTAATTGTGTTCGCTGAGCTGGTTGTGTTTAGTTGCACAGGTTTTGTCGCCCTACTGGACAACATCTTCAGTACAAGTTTTAGCATAAAATGAACTGAATTAGATTCTCCATGAACGCGAGAATTTTGTCTCCTGGCAACCATCATCATGACTACTGAAAGGCGATGTCTGGGGACTACTGGTGATATGGCTCAGCACTATTCTCAGTGGTACAGGTATCTTCAACAAGATCTATTAAACTCTTATGTTTTCTCATAACACTATTCTTTCTCCCCCAAAATTTCTGCTAATTATAGTCTTTTGGGACCTTTGTTTTAACGACCTTTGTGTGATACATGACATGAAGTACGGCAACTTGAACTTCTGTGCACTTCTGTGCAAACCTCTACGCGGAAGCACAGTCAGTCAGACAGTTACTTAAAGAGAGAATAAATTACCTGGATCTAAACTATTTCAGTAATATTTGTCAAAAAGATAACGTGATCTAATTAAACGATAAAAGCTGAGTTTGATCCTGTTGATAAATATTTTACTTATGCATAATGTCTTAGATAAATACACATGCTTAAAAACTCTGTTATATCATCAAGTGATTACTTCGAACTCGGATTTTAAAATTTCATTTTGTACAAAATTATTAATTAGCTTGTTTTTTTTTAAAAAAAATTTAATCAAAGCTTGCAGCAAAAGGTGATGTTCCTCAAAATACCACTACAAATCCTTCTGGTTCACGACGTATTCCAGTACCACATACAACTACTGAAAGTGATAATCGACCCTCAGCTAACAGCAATTTCAGTTCAGTACGAAATGTAAAGCGTACAACACCACAGATGATGAAACCAGCCCGTAAGTCACTGTCTTTAATGAAAGTCAGTCACACTTAGTTTTAAGATGTTATCATTATGTGTTAGTGGATCTTACAGTTATATCGTGTTGACTCGAAAAATCACCACTTAAAGTTAGTAATATTCTGTTAATCAAGTGGAATGTAAAATATCTTGCAAATATTGTCTACTTATGGCTGTGCTGAATTTATCTGATGCATTATCTGGACTTAAGTTAATGAAGGTTAGTATCGGTGGCATAGTGCAAGAATGCTAACTAGCCACGCATGTAGTTAGGGGTTCGATCCCCGGCCACCAATGCACTCCTTTACTTCACTAAGCCAGTGAATAAGAGTGGTAAAGAGGGAAGGTTGGGCATGAGGCTAGAAACCCTATCCCGTAAAAGTAAATACCACTGCTATCGAAACTTCAAGCCTCTAGCTTGAAGCCTTCCTATGTTCCAGCACTGGAAACGTATAGGAATAGAAAAAACATGCACCTACTACTTTGCTTGATTGCAGATACGCTTTGCTGATGAGTGACGACTAGCAAGAAAGCTAGGTCCAAGGCTTCCTGGCGATTGTCTCTAATCATTTAATACCAACAATTATCAAACTTCAATGAAATAGCCTCTCACGTTTCCATAGATTTGAAAGATTCTTCGGATGATTGTTTTTAGTTACGAAAGTTATCTCACAAATATATTAGGAAGGTTACAATCGAATATCACTATACAACATGCAAAGCAATTATTCACTTATAATAATCCCATTTTGAAATTTTGAAGCATTCCTGCTTAATCATGATGAAAAACGAAAACGCGGTTACAACGCATATCTACCTATAGTTGTACACAACTTTCTCCAAAGGAGTTTCTTGACTAGCTGATACTTGCTTACCAGTAAACAACAATTTCACTGAGATCTTAGGATCCCCATAATTGCTACGTATCAGTAATACTATACAAGACACTCATGAGGATTTCAAAATCTAAAATAAACCGGCTTCATAATCCTATTTGATTCACAGTTATTTAGAAAACGTACCCAACAAACTGAGCAGCGGAGAAACATATTGCTCTTCAATTAGTTTCCCATCCCCAGCTCTACACTCATAGGCAGTTTTACTCTGCAGTTATACCATTCTTGTAGTAAGGCTTGTCAATAAGCATTTTCAGTTTTGGAGTATTGGAGAGGCAAGAATAATTACAAAATTCAAAATCAGTTAATTTGTGAAAATAGGGCTTTAACAACACACCTCCACTTCGTTCTGTTTTCTGCCGTCCTCTTCAGATGGATCCACGATTGACCAAACTCTCTCATCTCTTTCTCACACGATCTCCTCCATGTCACCCGCGCATCGACGTCCCACTCGTCGCTTATAATTTGAATTCCACTCGAGCACCGGCCTGGCGTGCGATGTCATTAGGCGGCTTCCTCAATGCATGTCCGATCAACCTTCACTTTCTCCTACATATTTGTTGAGCTATCGGCTGTCGCCTGTTGGCTTATTCCCATAGTTTCTTGTTGCTTATTCTTTCTGGTCTGCCATTTGATCTTCGGTATAGAGCCAGAGAAGGGGGCAGCTGTTGATGAAAGTCTGCAACAAGCTGTTGGAAATCCTTTTCGTGACATGCAGTGCAAGTTTCTGACCCGTGTTGAAAATGCGAATCTTGTTCCTTATGCTGAGTGCGGAAGATTTGCAAACTGGTTTCAGGTGTGCTTTTTGTAGAATAATGACTAAGAAGAACAAATGAAGAGATTACGTGAGAATATCTGAATACAAACAAGCTTAATTGAGTTAGCTAAAATGCCAGTAGTAATACAGCAACAAAGTGAAATTAAAAAATATCAGATAATACTTATAAGGTGAGGGAAACAATTATTCACAAGAGTCTATTTTAGTTATTTTCATGTACTTAAAACTTCTTAGGACTCTTCATATAAACTGTGATCAAGATTTGACCGGATAGTTGCAAAATAATTGAGCGTCGAGTGAGAAGTAGACATTTGTTAAAAATTATATTTGTAAAATCTCAGCGAAATTGAAATGATTAATTCCAACGTTTCTTCCGTTCGGCAATCTGGTCCGAACTTCTTCAGGGAAATTAATCGAAATTAACATAACTGAGGTTTATATATATCTTCTTATGGAGACGTTAATAAATGTTTTACAACTGCCTACCCACACACACACATACACACTGCGTTTAAACTGTTTAACAAAGGTGGATCAATATTTGTAAGTCTGAGGTCAAATTTTGATCACAACTCGTACAATTTTGTTTATTATACTTGTTAATATTTGTTTTATGACTCATGATTGTACAAAGTTTCTAAAAACAAGAGATGTTTTATTTATATATAAACCTCTGTTATGTTAATCTCGACTAATTTCCCCGAAGAAGTTCGGACCAGATTGCGGAACGAAACGTTGGAATTACTCATTTCAATATCGCTGAGATTTTACGAATATAATTTTATAAATGTTTTTAGGACTCTATCAGCTTCTTTCCACTAACTTCATTTCTCTCTTCTTCTTTTTTTTTAAACTTAGAAACTATAACAACTCCTGGTGCACGAAATTCTCGTGACTTGCACAAAACTAATGATGAAATGGTTTGTGTTGTTTTTATAATGTATAAAATCACAAAAAGATTTATTTCTTTATTCTTCGTATTCCGGGTGGAACATAAGACACCAAGGTTTGAAGTTCCATTGGCGATGGTATTACTTTTACAGGGTGGGGAGTGATTGATAGCCTCACTCTCAATCTTCCGAAATTTTCCCAGATTTCCTGTTGGTTAGTAAACTAGGGGGTTTAAGTAAGGGTGAGTCAACAAGGTATCGAACCCGGACTACTGATAGGATCCAGCATAAAATAGTATATCATCCTTCCTCTTATGAATCGTATAGTTTATCTTGTGATGGAGTTACTACGTGTGACTGTATCATTTCTCATGCATACTGTGGTTTAGTGTGTGTGTGTGTGTGTGATCAATTCACCGTCTTTTGTGTTACCTTGGTCTTTGTCGGGTTGACAACCAATGAGAATTATCACCTCCAGCCAATAAGAACAATACATTCTCACGGTTATAAGACGACTTTATTATCGTAAATAAAATGTATAAATATCATGTATTGTTTCTTAAATAGAAATACAATATAATAATACTACAATATCTTAAAGTTACAGTCCATCCTTTGCCTTTTGATGTTTTTGAGTGGCGTAGTGAATCAGAAGGTACAACGGACAAGTAGGCGTATTTTAGCGTACCAGTCGAGTTCATTAACCAGTATAGTAATTAACAGGTGCAGACATAACGAAGTAGCAACGGATTTATCCATTTCAGTTATAACAAATTGGTGATGGGTCTCTTCAGTTCAGTTCAGTTATAACAACTAGCTGAGCTTAATTAGTGGATGGTGACTAGCCGTGGAATCAAGGATAACGCACATTTCGTCCTATTTGAGACTCGTCAGAGGGATGCACCTGCATTTCTCAGTGAGTGGTGATGTTCACTCCGAGGCTCGAACCCAGTGCCCATAGTTTCAAGCATCAAAGCGTTATCCACTAGACCACTCGGTGGGAGCATCATCACTCACTGAGAAATGCAGGTTCATCCAGGTGACCACGAGACCCAAATAGGACGAAATGCATATCCTGTATTCCACTGCTAGTCACCACCCACCAATTAACTTTTATTTACTTGCACAGACATTGTCAAAGCACCTGTATTAGAAGCCGAAATGTCAACCTGAGACCGAGCACTTCGGTCCAAACAATCGACGGGAAAATCAAAAATTCAATTTGAACTGCGACAAAAGAAGACAAGGTCCAGGAAATAGATCGTTTATTGAGGAAATCAACACGCATTTATATATTTTCACGTATATTATTATAGCTTATTCAAGAAAACAAACACACTCTTCTGACTGATTGTTTCTCACAGAAAGATGACCTTGCATCTCTTTGTGACTGTTTCTTGAATGTCAGGTCATCTATTTATTTATTTATTTTTTGATTTACAGCTTGATTCCACACTGTAATTTTGGTACAAGTATGGAATTTTCAGCATGGATATCGGCAGCCCAAATTTTGCAGGCCGACCATAGATATCAGGTGTGAGTCGGCAGGGGTCGAACCTCGAACCATGTGCATGGTCGGCGAGACTCCTAAACACTGTGCCACCTACGCACGTTAACTGTATCTGCCTACGCAAAGTCTGTTGTGATTGGTTGTTGAATCAGTCTTATTCATATTTTCTCACGACCAATATTTGCGGCATAAACGATTAATGTCTACCAATTGGCTAGCAGCCTCCTCTCACCACAAAACTACCTGAGCTGTTACTTGGCGTTCTACCGTTAAACCAACGATGTAGTCATAGTTTGGCAAATGTCATAAAACTTACTCATAAAATTCAACAGTAAGGAGAAAGCTGAATTCAAACGATCTTAGTAAAATAACGTACCTTTAATGTGGTTGTCTTCTCTTAGATGAATGGTTTCAATGTAGAGCTTTCACTGACTTTCTAAATAACATCTTTAGAGAAGATTTCGATATTGAAGATGTCGCCCAGAAAGATAATAAAAGCTTCGCAATTAAACCATCCAGCTCAGAGGAAATAACAACAACAACATCAAAATTTCATACCTGAGTTGGTAATCTTTTCTATTATATTTCAAAATACATGACCTTTGTTCATGATTGTCATAAGTTGATGAACGTCGCATAAAATATTTCAAAGTGAACTTTGTTACAAATAGACGCCAATTTGAAAAAAAACCCAAAACAATACGCTTTGATAAGCGACCTTATAGCAGTTCATAATTCTTCACTAGGATGTGTCAAAGACCTCATAGGGAATCGAGCAAAGAACCCGTAAATTGTATCCTTCAATTTAGAGACAACAAGAGATACATCTCTGAGACGATGGATGAAAATATTTTACTATACATTTGAAGAAATTAAAATTCATGAGCAGTTGGATGCCTATCTACTGGGTAAATGATAGATCGCTCGCCTTGAAACACAGACTCAATATTTCATCAGGTCATCAGTGACCACTTTAGAAGTCCAAGGTTTTTACAGTTCTCTATACGATATCGTTTCGTTATTTGTTACTTGAAAACGATCAATCCTTCACAAACTTAAGAGTGAACAAGTACTTCAACTTAACTTAAAATGTGATCCATTTACTCCTTGTAAACATGAGAATGTTTATAACAGACCGACAAAAGTAGTGAAGCAAAACTTTTCAAAAAATAGATCTTCAGGTATCAATTACTGTCGTTTTTTGCAAAATCTAGTTAAAGTGGTATGAATAATCTACAAATACCTAGTGGCTCTTCATCAATAAATAAATAAACAAATGATCGATACTACGACATCAAAGTGTTACAGCAATAATGATCTATCATTGAACACTGTTGACTAGTGTGATGTGTCTAGACCTTATTGTGTTGGTGCAGATTGAAGTCTATCAGTCGAGTTTGCAATGTGGCCACCATGAGTTCCTTCAAGGTTGCAGATATGCCTTGCTGACTGATGAGTGCCAACTAGCCGCAAACCTAGATCCAAAGCTTCCTGCCGATTGCTTCCAACCTTCTAACATCAACAATAGTGATATATATATTTAATTTAATCAGCTTTCATGCCACTTAAAAAATTTTTTTAAAACTAGTTAACCCTTAACACGGGTCAGTTTCAGTAGACTATTCCAATCCATTTACTTGAAGTGAGGTAATAAGGCAGACATAAAACAGAAAGCGTGAACCAAATCGATAGTAGGAACAATAAACTGTCAAGTATTGGTTTGTAGGGACTTGGTTGATCAGTTATAGGATTTCATTATGAGCTGACATCAGTCAGAGAACCGTTGGAAAACCTACAGCGAGTAATGGACAGTCGTTTCGTCCCAGTTGGGATTCTTCATCAGTACGTACTCACCAGGTTTAGAACGCAGGATCTTCTGATTACCGGGAGAGCCTGTAGACCAATAAGTCACTGAAACCCGATCCAATGGCCCATGAATTCTTATTTCTGCCGATTCACGATATAGGGTCTCTGTGGCTTAATGGTTCTAACCCAAGTGGGTGCGTACTGATGAGGAGCCCCAAACTAGGACGAAACAGTTGTCCAGTAACGCCAGATTTTCCAACAGTTCTCTGACTGATGTCAGCCCGTGACGAAATCCTGTAACCAGTTACATTATAGTATTAAAGAAAGTGTTATGCTTCTTCCTACTATACATAAAGTATGAGGTATAGAAATTTAGTTCAATACACTATTGTGCCAGGTTATACCCAGTTTGCATAAAACTCCGTACTACTGATCGGTTGACATGAGTAGTTATATACCACTCATATTAACCAGCAGTGCGTGTCAGGATGATAAAGGTGATCTTAATACTGGATGGAGATTTCTCTCGTCCGAAAGCCGAGCTCATCAACAGTTTGCCCGGTTTGATCCAGTTCAAAGAGGCGAATCAATTGAAACCACACTGGATTTATGACTGACCACTTGATAGCATAAGTCAAATTTATAGTTTTTAAATTACTCAGCAATTCGCAATCTACATAGTTCGAAGGGTGAAGTCTTCACCACAATTTCCTTCAGTAACCAAATTATTCAGATCCAGTATGTGATTGTTGTTTCTCTTCTTAACATTTCACTGAATACTCTGTGGGAATACCATCACCCATTAGGGAATGCAAGTACATCCACCTGACCACGAGTCGCAAATAGGACGAAATGAGCATCCTGGATTTCACTGCTATTCACCATCCAAAATGGACTTCTGGTTACACGATCAGAAATCGTCGAAGCATCTGTACAAGGAGCTGACAAATCAACCTGAGATCAAGCATTTCCGCCCAGTCAATCGACCGGAAGATCTAAAATTGGATTCAATGCTATAAACAACATTACGGTGTGGAATATTTCGATCTCAGATCCTGAACATCAATAGGAAACCTATTGAGCTGGCATGCATTACACTGTACTGCACCAAGAGATATACCTCCTACACTTAAACTAGATTTCAGTAGAACTGTAGAGTGTAAACGCCTAAAATCACTTTGATTCGGCTATATGTTAAACAACCACATTTAAGGTTTGTTAATAGAACTGTTTTACCTCATTTTGCAACATAGATGGCAATCAAATAGTGGCGAAGTCGGAGATTAAATATCTAGGCGTCATTCTATCTGCTGATCTTTCCTGGTCGTCTCATATCTTGACGATTTCTAAGAAAATATTCTGTCTTACCTTCTACCTCAAGAAGTTAAGACATTCTGGAATAATCCAACCCAGCCCTTACTCTTACGATTCGTTAACTCTTGCATCCTGCCTATTATTCTCTATTGTTCCCCCTTAGTTTTTCCAGGGCTACTAAAGAAGGACTATATCTTATTACGTACCATGTTAAAGGTTGCCACCAGGGTAAGCAATATGACACTTAACCAGCTTAATATTCTGGTCGAAAGGCACTTGGACTCATGTGAAAAATGGGCGAAATCCATTCTATCTAACTCACACCACCCTCTTCATTCACAACTCTCTTCTTGTATCTCATCAGGCAGGACCACAAGCTTATATAAAAAACTATATGCCCGCACTATCAAGTACAAAAACTCAACCATACCCTACTTATCTCGTGTTCTGTGCGATAAAGAAAGCATTAGGCGTGAAACCTTTAACTTATTAAATAGTCAGTAGAACAAATGGATCTCGTCTTTCCAACTCATATCATTTATAGGTACAACGTTTTCTCCCTTTCTTTTGCTTTTTCCTTATTTTTTTGGTATGTGTTGTTTTGTTTCTCTCTTCCTTACAAACTCTATTTAAAACATTCTTCTTCGTTCTTTCACACTCTGTATATCTCGACAATTTTTGTTACCGCTTACGTCAGTAAATATGCTGGCATCTACTTTTCTAACACCTTCAAACATTGTGTTCACTTTTGGCTTGCTACCGATATGCCAATATGTTGTTGTTAAAATTAACTGAGATTACCCATAATCTATGTAGAATTTTATTTATTGATAATGTACTAACTGGATGCAATACTGTAGTAAAAATGCTGAGAATTCCATTCTGTATCACAAGTACTGTTTTGGAATAAAGCAAATTATAATTATTATTATTAATAAAGTAATTTTCTGTCAAACGTTTAGTCCATCAACATACTTTTCACTTTCCAAATTTTTTTATTTAGATAAAACCACCATCTAATTCATCAAAAGAAGAGACTGTACCGAATTCTAACCGAGGTGTACCAACTAGTCAAACACGGTATGTTCATAGGTCAAGCTTATCTAATGATAATTGTTTTAATTTTCAAAATCCAAAAGTAAGTCCTTCAAAAGGACTTAATTCTAATCTGACTTTTACGAATGATTGTGAAGACCTCACCAATAATACAGCTAATTATCATCACCAGCATCATTCGCATCAATCGAAAATTCACAGAACTAAACATCATAAAATTGTAAATTCAGAAAGAAAACATGACAGTCCATGTTCTAAGCAGATTCCTAAAAGTTATGAAACGAATAATCTTAACGGAGTAATACTACGTTCAGGAAGAACTCAAGAAGACTATGAGGAAGCACGAGAACTTGCACGTAATCTGATGAAGAAAACTCCATGCATAACACCGCCCTCATCTTTATCATCAGATAGAAAAGGCCGAACATCCAATCCACTGATACCTTTACTACGCAATGATCAGTCACCGGGTATCAAAAATTATATTTATGAATCAAGTGCTTATAATAATTCAGGATTTTCAACTAAGAAATTATTTTCACCAAACAGTATTAGTAGTAGTAATAGTAATAGTAGAGAACATGGAAGTTCATGGAGTCAAAATTCCTACCTAAATAATGATCATGGGGACGAAACGCCGTTAGGCGGTGAAGAAAACAATTTTCAGCATCGTCTAAATTCACAGTCTAAAATACAATACGACCATATAAGTATCCATAGTCCGAACAGGTAAACTTCCCCTGACATCTTGTTCAATGTTCAAAACAGTTGTTAATTCAAATTGTTATTCATTAAAAGTTCTATGTTTAGATTTTGTTTTTAAAACAGAACACATGCATTAAAAACCAACATGATCAATAAAACATTTTTCCGCTCTTTTTTTCTTTTTAATTTATTCAATTTCAGTCTACAAGCTAACAAAACTGCCAATCATTCACGGAACAATTTAAAACCAACAACTGGAGCAATGACCAATGACAAGTCAAATAAATTCTGTTCTGAATGTGGAAGTACATTTCCAAGTACTGCTGCTAGATTTTGTCCAGAATGTGGAATGCGTCGTATGGGATTTTAAAACACTCCAATTAAAACCAACCAATCAATTATTGTATATCATTAATGCGTGCATTGCTATATGATGCAATCGAGTGAGAGAAATCCTTTTTCCTCTCAGATAATGATAATAATATAGCATTTTATCAGAGAAACAAACGTTTGAAAGTTCCACACAGTGACAGGGTTCCCCCTTTAACTCAGTGGTGGTAATGCTACACATAACTTCTTGTATTTGCTTATTATTACTACATGTTGTATACTTTACATGACAATAATTGTTATTACTGCAATAATAAACAATCATACATGTTGGATAATTGATAGAACCAACACTGTCAGTCCGTTGGCTTAATAATCCTGCAGTAAGTACGTACGAAAATCCATTCATTGCTCAATTGCAATGTATATTACTCTTTTTATACATTATTATTAATAATACTACTAATAATAATTAGTAAATAGTATCTTTGTTTTGGCTACAATGTAGTTTTGCGCATCACTCAGACATATATTTATATATATACGCATACGTCGTATGTACATGAATATGAGTGAATGCTGTCATGCTCCTCCCCCTATACACTTCTCCTTTATGATGATGCATCTAACCTGAGGTTGCATTCTCACAAATTTACTATTCCCCAGTTGTTGTGTTTTTTTAGTTTTTTTTTGCTTTTTCGGCTTTATTTTTTGTCAATTGTAGCTATTCAACCAACACTGACGTTTTCATTTCTCATCTACATATGTGACCTTTGGTTGGCTTTGAAAAAAGCAGCGACACTAAAACTTCTTTATAATTTGTGATCTATTCATGAATTTAAAAAAAATCTGTCTTTATTGTTTTAAAACAACAATGACGCTATCCTTCTTTGCTTTTACTTTGCCAATGTTCTTTCCTTGAGAATATAAACAAATAAAAATTGTGTGTATACTAAACTACTACTTACTACTGTTTGATTAGTACTATATATTGGTCTTTTTTATCATAAATAAATAAAATAAGCAACAAAAATAATTGAGAATTGTTTAAAATTTTCTGAGATCAAGTAAGTATTGAATATTGTTTGAATGAATAAATACACTGTCGAATAAAGTGAGGCGGTTTGTTTAAATTAATGGGCTACTTAAATTCGCCATCCCTCAAAATTGATTGTATTTACTCTGTTTTATATTATTAGTGTAAGTGTAGATGAAATGGGCATTGTGCTGGAATGCGGTCCCATAATAGATAAGCTTATTACAAATATCATACATGGCCTGGGCTATTGACAAGATTTATCATTACTATATGGGGGAGGGAGAATTTCATCGACACGAAAATATCACTGCTGCAGATTTTTCTAATGCGGTAAGTTAGTGCAATGATGAGAGCTCGTTTTCGGCTCAAAGGTATCCAACTATAGAAATGCGTTAGCAGGCCGTTCCATGTCGGTTTTATGTGGATGGACCTCTTCAGGGTTCCATCATCTCTTCTTGTTAATTCCACGTCCAGAAATGGAATCTTTGAATCATTTTCTAATTCCATTGTGAATTTAATCGAAGGATGGGAATTATTAAATTCTTGTAAGATGCAGTTGAGGTTCGAGTTATCGTAGCAAACTATAAAGGTATCGTCAACGTACCTTTTGTACAGTAGTAACTTGTTTATTGTTGATTTTAAAACTCCACTCTCCAAACTGGCCATAAAGCAGTCTGCTAAAAGCAGACCAAGAGAAGATCCCATTGCTATTCCGTCTTTCTGTCTGTAGATGTCGCTGTTGAAGATGAATTGTACATTCAGCGTGCATCTCAGCAACAATTACTTCAGATATGATATTGGTACTCTAACGCTTATATTGGATTTCTCCTTATAATTGCACAGAAAGCGAATTGTTTCTGTTAGTGGCACGTTGGTGAAGAAAGATTCGACATCTAGTGATGACATTCGTTTATCATTTACACTCAAATCTTTTATCTATTCACTGAACTTAAAAGTATCGTGAAGGCAGTATTTGCATAGGTGTTGTCTTACCGGCTCCAACATTTAGGACAGTCATTTGGCGATTGGATGGTATGGTGACCTTGACATGTCTAGAATCAGTCGAAGCGGCAACCCAGGTTTGTACACCTTTGGTAAGTCGTAGAGTCGGAGAATGGTCGATCCTGTCGGTTTCAGGCGATCGAAAAAGTCCTCTTTTCAATCAGATGATGGAGTCCTGAAGAGGTTCATCTACAGAAGAAAACTGACAGCTAACGCATTTCTATAGTTGGATACCTTTGGGCTGAAAATGAGCTCTCATTATCGCACAAAAATATCAAATGGTGGAGAGATAGACTTGACGTGACAAAGAGAACATATGAACCCTTGGTTGTGGCAAAACATGGGAGGCATGAGAAGAAGAGAGAGAAACACGACATGGAGGGTATAAGTAGCCACACAACAGGGAAGATTTGTGCAAATGACGATTTTAAAATAAGGTGTACATAATTTCTTGATATGTAGAGATATCGAATTGTAAATAAACATTGTGTTACTAAGTCTCTTGTCTTCTACCGTTTCGATGAAGTGGAAGACGTTTTGGGCATATAATCTATTGCTCATAATCATGACGTCCAATTGAGCAGAAGAGAGGATGGTTCACTAAAGAGAGATGTCTATAGAAAACCTACATCTGTAGGACAATATACACATTTCCTCAGTTATGTACCAATCCGATACAAAATCAATTTGGTCAGATGCCTGACGAATAGAGCAAGACGCATCTGTACAGATGACTCTCTAGAGAATGAGCTAGGATACATCCAAAATACGTTAGTCCAAATGGGTTATCCTAGTAGATTTGTCAGGAGACACATGAATGCTAAGTACAATAAAGAGAAACCGACAACAGTTAAAAAGAAACAACTGTTCATGAAACTGCAATTTAATGGGGACGTGGCTAGTGAAGTCTTACATCAGAGATTATCGAGAGCGATAAAACGGACTTATACTGCCGCCACCCTCTGTTTGTCATTTTCCAGCCGGCCAATTTTGATTGCTCAAGTGAAAGATAAGTTACCTAGTTGTGCCACTTCCATGTGTATCTATAAATTTAGTTGCTCCTGTGGAGAAAGCTATATAGGCCGAACAACTAGACAGCTTAACAAACGCATTAATGAGCATCTTCCTTCATGGTTCGGAAAAGGTCAAATAAAGTCCATACGAAGTTCTATTTTGGCTCATTTGATTGATAGTGGTCACCAAGTGGACAAAAATAGTGCTTTCAAAGTCATTTACCGCATTCCATCAAGTCTTTCGAACGGAATCAGAACCCGTCTTTTACACTTAGCCGAAGCTATGGGAATTCGAGAGAACAATCCTAGTCTTTGTATACAAAAGAAATTTGTTCTACCTTTGTCTCTCCCTTGGCCTAGGTGAATTCTATTCAAAACCCTCCCACCCTTTGTTATCATCCCTCTCCTTCGTACTTTTATGATATTTATTTAAACTCTGATTATCGTTCCATTTGATTTGACCTAATTTATTTATTTATTGAATTGTCTACATATATGCATATACTAACTTTGTTATTCTTATCACCTATATAAGCCTTATTAACAATATTTTGTTATTATTATAATCATCGCTTTTAACTTCGTTCAAAACATTTACCACAATATTATTACTGTTATGATTATTATTATTATTATTATTATGATTACGATTATTATTTGATCCACTAAATCACCGTCATTGGTTAAAATTTTATACATATAAGTCTATGTAAATTAGAGTAAAGCCTGAAGAAGATCTAATTGAAAACAATATTGTTCGCTTATATGTCTTGTTCTAATATCAGTTAAGTCACACAGTTTCATAATTTGCTACACATAAATTTTTCTCTCTTTCTCCAACTCCCCCTTGTTTCTTATTGCCACTTTTCATTTCTTCGATATAGACGTTGCGTCATTTCGATTGTTTGGATCCAGTGTTGAATCGATGAACATAGATTCAGTGATTAATCCCACCTTCCACCTAAATATATTAATTTTTAATACTCTCAACCTGTCCCACTCTATTTTGTGAATACATACAAGTTTAACAGGGCCGACTGTTCTAGGTCTAGCTAAACTTTTATGTTTGGTTGGAGGATTTCATAATGAGCTGACATCGGTTATAGAACCATTGAAAAACCTGCAGAAAGTAATGGACAGCTTTTTCGTCCTAGTTTGGGACTCTTCATAGTAAAAGCACACATGCCACGGGGCTCGAACCCAGGACCTTCTGCTTACAAGGTAAGCGAGCTTGAAGACCATTAAGCCACTGGGACCCGATCAAATGGCCCACGAATTCTAACTTCTGCCAATTCACAACATAAAGCGACCTCTTAGCAATGTCTTCGATGAGTAACTATCTGAATGACTGGCCCTATTCAGGCAGTTACTTGGGATTCTAGAGGGAAGCCACGACCAATAGGGTGCGGCAGGTTGAAGGTGAAGCAATAACTCATCGAAGAAGACATTGCGAATTAGTCACCCTGTGTCATGAATAGGGAGAAGTCAGAATTCATGGGCCATTGGATCACGTCCCAGAGGCTTGATTGTCTACGAGCTCGTCTCGTAACCAGAGAGTCCTGCGTTCGAACCCCGCGGAGTGGGTGTGTACTGATAAAGAGTCACAAACTAGAAAGAAACAGCTGTCTAACACTCCCAGGTTTTCCAATTCTTCCCTAACTAATGTCAGCTCATGATGAAATCCTCCAACCAATCAAAACAAAATCCCTACAAACCAATACTTGTAAACTTTTACGTTTCAATAGTCTAATTAATCCCAATTCACTAATTTAACCTTTGTAATTGACCTCACAACCATTACATGGTATTTTGTAAACTATATTATATTTCTGCTTAATTGGATCAGTCGGGTACTTAAGCCACCAAAGTTTATGTCTGAATGAGTTGGTTGGTTTAAATGCCACCCTAATTCCAGCTTCATTAAAAATCCGAAGTAAAGCCTCTGATATTCCTGCTGCATACGCCTTTGGAAGAGAAAGAGTGAGG